CTACCTACCTACCTACCTACCTACCTACCTACCTACCTACCTACCTACCTACCTACCTACCTACCTACCTACCTACCTACCTACCTACCTACCTACCTACCTACCTACCTACCTACCTACCTACCTACCTACCTACCTACCTACCTACCTACCTACCTACCTACCTACCTACCTACCTACCTACCTACCTACCTACCTACCTACCTACCTACCTACCTACCTACCTACCTACCTACCTACCTACCTACCTACCTACCTACCTACCTACCTACCTACCTACCTACCTACCTACCTACCTACCTACCTACCTATCGTCAGAGAGAGAGAGAGAGAGGCGACTCTGAAGTGCTATGATTTTCACAGTGTCTTCTCTGAAACCTTTCCACATCACTAAGCAACATTTGGGGAAAAGCATTAAGTTAAAAAAAAAGGTCAAAAAGATGCTACCCTTGATCTTTTGCAGATCTTTTGCACCTTTTAGTTTTTAGTTTCTCTGCTGGCCTCTTTGACCTACCATTTTGTCTGTGCATCCCCGCTGCCCATTCTTTCTATGTCTCTTGATCCCTGTGATTACTCAACAGGGACCTCTCCAACAATCGTATCGGCTGCCTCGACGCTGGCATTTTCCAAGGACTGGCCAACCTCATCCGTCTGTGAGTAGTTTGCCCTCTGGGTTGATGCTGGTGGTGTGGCAAAGAGGCTGTGCTTCAAGGCATGTGTGCTAGCAACTGGAATCCCCACACATTGGAATGAACCTTTTGCTAACAGAGATATGCTTCCAGTTTATGGAATCTGGAATGTTCCAGCTAGGCTCCTTTCCTATAGACGTGTTGCTGTTGCTATGGGCCATCAAGTCTCTTCTTGACAGGTCTCAAAGTCAACCTAAGGAATTGTTCATCGCAATTCAGTGTATAAGTTGTTACAGGATCAGGATTTAGTGAAGCAACATGTAACAAGAGTAACACAGCTGAGTTAATTGAGGCAGCTGTGTGACAATCAATTTGATTGGTTCAACCAAGAATAAAACTAGCCAAGCTTGCAGAGACAAATTGTTGGGTAGTTGGATAGTTTGGGTGGTTGGATTGTTGTGTTGCTGGTGATCGTGTTGTTGAGAGCTGTATATACTGCATCGCTGGATGAAGACTTGCTATATTGCAAGGAGAAGATCCTGGAGGAAGACTATCTCCGTGGTGAGAGAAGACTTTGTGGATGCTGGACTATTTACATTGGTAACAATCTTTGGTTACTGAAAACTGTAAATTTACCATTGCATACTGAAGAACTACTGTGAATGACCAGGACTGTGTAAGGACCAAGAGAAGCTGTATTTATCCCTGTATATATGGACTTTAATGTAAATAATACTATCAACACTACAACAGTGTCTGTTTGGTTTCATCTCTGAGCAGTTCA